GCATGGACACCACTTGGCCGCGCACCAGCACTGCCACTGTTCGACCTGACCAGTGCAAATCATTGCACGGAGCTGATGGTGGATGTGCACAGATATTAGTATCATATTACCACAGCCCACTGCCAACTGAGCCACATAGGGCCTGGCTCCACTACACGACACTCTAAATGTACCTGGACCTTCGCAATAGTCCCGATTCATTCACAATATTGGACCCCAGTGAACGCACCTGGTCCAGAAAGGCGTCCAAATGCATGTAAAATGTTGAGTGGCGAGCGAGGACCCATATGCAGACTGATGGACAAAACGTCAAAGACATCGGAGATTGCAACACTGCGTCATCGGACTTTCACCAGCTCTTCCAGAGCTGCACCCTCGACAGTCTCGAGAGTCCCCTTCCGCACGACTAATGAAGACGATGATGATGATGATGATGATGATTCTGGAATGATGATACACCTCAAATCCAGCTGGACATGGACACCAGCAGCTGGCCCGCAACTGGTACCACAAGGTCCGCAGCGACAACTGCACTTTTTTTTTTTTTTTTTTGCAAAAAGACTAAGCTCGTTCGATTAGCCCACTGCACTTGACGGTGCCGACAATGAAAAACGAAAAAAATGAGAAAATCAGAGCAGATTACCATCCAACCATATCAGACGGAAGACTCCACAGATCAAAAAAAAATTAAAAAAAATCTACAGAGTCTACAGACTTGTAGGTCCACACAGAACCCAATCACACCTCACCGTAAACCAATAAACCTCTGAATTTTGCGCAAAAAAAAACAAAAACAAAAGGAAACAAACAAACAAAAAGAACAAAACCAACACCCCACGATATACAAAGAAATGTCAAGACTCAAGGGGCCACCGCACATTAGATTCAGCGGTAGACGGTAAACCGTATCTAGTCATGACAGGAGACCACATTCAGGAAATGAAGGAGCGGAAATGAAGAAGCGATGCGAGCAGGGACGGTACCGTAGCAACACACTAACGGTAAGATTCTTTTTTTTTTTTTTTTCCCTTACTATTGAAAGAATTCAGGAAATTGACCAACTACTTCTAACGATCAGAGCCCCATTTTGTTTTTGCCTCTTTTTCTTTTCTTTTCTTTTCTTTTCTGTTGTCTTCTCTTTAAAAAAAAAAAAAAAACTTCTCTTTTTGTTCTTCTGTTTCCTTTCTGGGTTTCTTTTTTTTGGCCCGTTTTCCTTCACCTCCCTATTTTTTATTTATTTATTTATTTTTCCGGCTGCAACTCTCTGCACGTTTTTGTCGCTGAGGGGAAGAGTCCCGCCTTCCCCTCCCCCCTTCCCTCCCCTCTTCCCCCCCTCCTTCTCCCCACCCTCTCTCCGGCAGAAATAACACACTTTGCAGGAGGACAGCAGGCATGAAAAACGCAGGAGGGCACAAGGAAGAGTCGAAGACGTGCAGGAAGAGTCGAAGACTGCACGTCTTCCCCCCGACACAACAGACTCTCATTTTTTGCTGCACCCTACTGGAACGATAGCTTGTATGCATTCGTTATCAGGATGAGAAATGTGTTGGGGGGAAGACAGAAGGGCAGGCAGACACAGGACAGGGATGACATCTATGATGACAGGAACCCCCCCCCTAAGTTGTGGAAATCTCCAACATACAAACACACACACACACACACACACACTACAGCTGTAAATGTTGCCCGTTGCCGTGAAGCAGCACTGGCCATGGCCCATAACTCGCCAACCGGATAAGACAAATAGCACATTACATCGTCTGCTGTCGCCCGGGCGAACTAACAAGCTCGATACAACAAATAGCACAATTTGCATTCATTGCGGGAAAGGCTACGACGAAACGGCAAGCGCGCGTCTCCAGCGAGCACGCAGTCTGTGCCAGCGTCCCTTGCTGCCAAGCAAAGCGGATCACATTATATAATTGCTTGCAGAGGGAGAGGGCATACGACAAATAGCACATTTGCATTCATTGCAGGCCAGCCTAGGACGAAACAACAACAGCCGCAACACGCATCGCCAGCACACATGCAGTCTGTGCCAGCATCCCTTGCCGCCAAGCAAACCGGATCATAATATATATTTGCATGCAGAGGGAGAAGGCATACGCAATGCAGAAAAAAAGAGCAGTCCTTTTTGCATTTATAGCTGCACAAGGCCTTTCGTTTTCATTTGCGATGGCATAATGGAAGGNTAATATATATTTGCATGCAGAGGGAGAAGGCATACGCAATGCAGAAAAAAAGAGCAGTCCTTTTTGCATTTATAGCTGCACAAGGCCTTTCGTTTGGACTTGCGATGGCATAATGGAAGGGCCGTGTCATGCAAATGACATGCAGGAAAGAAGTTAAAAAAAAAAAAAAAAAAAAAAAAAAAAAAAAAAAAAAAAAAAAAAAAAAAAAAAAAAAAAAAAAAAAAAAAAAAAAACCAAAACGACGGAGTTAACAGGCTTAGGCCCTTAGGAACTGTACATGTGCAGATGCTGCAAAAAGGATGCCCACACAAATGATAAATAATAAATTATCAAATATACCACACAAACGTCAATTTATTAAATCTATGTATTTATTACATTTATAACTCCCTGTGAAATGGAGTTATTAAATCTATGTATGTATTAAATCTATGTATTTATTACATTTATAACTCCCATCCCCATCATAGAGAACTGCCCTGTGAGATGGAGGGAGGAAGTGAAAAAAGGACAAATATAACCGGAGGCTGTCTGATTGTGCTGTCAAATTGTGACCGGCTCTCATCAGAACACAGAACAACAAACGAGAGGCTGTGACAAACCGTTTCGTCCAGGTTTCACCTACTGACTCATCAGGAGGAGGCTGAACCCTCTAAAAAACAGTCTGCAGAGTGCCCTAACCGGCGATACTAAAGAGTGACAATCCACCTTAACCACAACCGGTTGTGGTTAAGCATCAACGACTGCCGACAACCGATACCCCTCTGAGGTGGTGGGGACCACAAACCACTGCCCTCAGGTATCTGCGACGAGAATCAAAGCAGACAAGCATCACTCACCCACACCGGATGGAAAACTCTACAGACTGTCTGTCGGTTCACACCCCATCACAAGGTAAGTCAGCAAAACACCCATGAAACAAAGAAAGGTCTGCCACAACCAAAAAATACACTCTAGACACGCCGCCGACACTAGAGGCACAGCATGGCCGCGAAGTGACGGCCCCAACCACACTGCCGCTCTACCTGACCTGAGAAAACCATAGCAGGGTGCTATATCTGCTCTCTCTCTCTCTCTGTCTCTCTCTCTATCTATCTATCTATCTCTATCTATATATATATATATATATAAATGAGGGGCTGTGACAAACTCTTTCGTCAGAGTTTCACCAACTCATCAGAACCCTTTATATATCATCATAGAGGACTTTTGTTGAGAGCCGCAGGCGAACAGGGAGAAGAGGACAGCCAATGATTAACCAAAGAGGGGCTGTGACATTGTTCCCTCAGACTTTCACCGACTCCTAGGTAGGCTGAACCCTCTTCCGACTGCAGATTCAGATTCCCCTAACCAACAATACCTTTAAGGGATAATAACAATCCACCTTAACCCCAGTTGTGATCATCCCACCTTTACCACAGGCAGTCATTGATGAGTACTCGCAAGTCGGGGGAAGGGGACTTCCGCAGACTGTAGAGGGTTCAGCCTCCTTTACTGAGCCCTCTACAGTCTGCAGAAGCCCCCTAACCTGATGATCATACAGAAATTGAAGCTTAACCGCAAGGGGGGGGAAGGG